ATACACACTCACACACGTACACACACAGGGTATATATGAGGGTTCTTCAAAAATTTTGTGAAAAAAGGAGTAAAAAGTACATTTATCTTGGTGCAAAAGTTTTTGAAATTCATGTGTAGTTTTTTCATAAAATATATTTTCCACAAACTTTTTGAAGTACTGTGTGTGGGGGTATACAGAGAGAGAAAGAGAAAGGTATTTATTTTAAGGAATTTTCTCACACACAACTGGGGCATTGGCAAGTCTGAAATCTATAGGACAGGCAGGAAGACTGCAAAGTCTGGCAGCGTTTCTATGCTGCAGTCCTTCATCTTTAGGACCCCTTCCCCCACTTTTTGTTCTTATGGCCTTCAACCTACTGGATGAAGCCATTAACACTCTAGAGAAAGATCTGCATCACATCTGGAAAACAGCTCCCTACCAACCCCCAGCCCTATGTTTGATTAAACAACTGGGCCCCACTGTCTCACATGTTGACACACAGAACCTACATTTACATGGCCATCATTCACTCCTTTAATAGTGGTCTGCTTCCTCTAGTCCCTGCTCCCTGTGCATTTTCTCTGGAATGGATCCAGTAGAGGCATGCACTGATCATAGATCTTCAGTGGTTACCTCTGGGCCTGCAGGACTGAACCACATCCTACCCTGGGCACCTGCATCTTTCCACTGCTTATCCTTGCCTTTCCCAGTCTTAGGTTCCAAGGCCTTCCATCTGGGACACTTCGTTCCTGCAAGAAGCTGCTCCTGGATCTTCTAACACCCCATACTTGCTCCCAATTTTGTGTCCTTGCTCACTCTGTTCCACGTATAAGATCTTTCTTCTTCACCTCATTCACACAGGTGTGCTCACCAGCTGAAATCCCCTTCTCACTGTGGCCTTTGCTCTTTAGTCTGCAGGAATTTTCCTCTTCCCAAGCCCTATGGGGTTGTCTGTGTATTTATTGTGATCTTCCCTAATTACATACCAAGGCTGCCTTCAAGGGCAGGGCTGCAAGTTCAGAAGGCTCTGTGTTTGGCTTCATGCTTTCCTGTTACCATGTTTAAATATTTTATAAATTTTTAAAAAGAGGCTTCATTTTTCATTTTTGCCTGGGTCCCCAAATTATTTCTCTAATGCTGTAGGGCACATGTCTTGCCTGGTCATGTTCACTTTAAATAATGATTGAAAATTGTGTTTGCAAACAGGACTACATAATTTTTATGGGTTTATGCCTTTTTTTTTTTTTCAGTTCTCTGAGTATAGTAAATGTGCAATAAGTAGCTGTTAATTATCTTTACCACATGAGACTAAGCCTTGATTTGCCAGTTGTCCAGTTTGTCGCTAAGGAAACAGAGCCCTACTATTACCAGCTATGGACTCGCATGCTGAGGCACACCAAGAGCTGGCTTATTTTAATATTTAACTTTCAGCTCTTTTCACAATATAGGTAGGCTAAGATTAAAATACACATTAACAGGATTTAAATAGGCCTGTTCTTATTCATTCTAATTACATTGAAGTACACTATTTAAAAATCTCCTCACCCTAGAGATGTCGGATTCTTGTGACCAATGAACATATGGAACCTGACCTTCAACTCCAGCCCAATGGTTCACTTGAGTGAGTTTGTTCAAAACATTATAAATGTAACTTTTTTGAAAAACATGTTTTTCACCTTTTCTTTCCCAAGCTTCTCTTTATTGTGTCACACCTCCAGAGCCCTATGGTTGGAAGACTGCTGTGCCTTTTGCTTTCAGCTTCATACACTGCTTAGTCTTTTGTTTGCTTTGTTAAGAGCTGTGTTGTTCATTCCCCCATGCTGTTTTTAGGAGCTATTGAGAGTCAAAAATCCAAGCCCATGTAGAAGGCCTGTGGTGGTTCACTTTCTTCCTGCAGGACTCCCTGTGGCCAAGAATTCCAGGGGGAGCACCTTATGGATTGGAGGATGCAAGGGGTATGAAGGCAATACACATTGATTTCCTAGTCTTTGAGTCACTTAGAGATCAAGTGTGTTTGCAGAAATCAAGTATTAAGCAACAGTGGGTGTCATTCCACTGCCACCATATCATCCCGGGTTTGCAACTGGAAAGGTATAAACATTAGTTGTTCTTAAAGTTAAAAAGGAGAGAGAGGAAACCTGTAAGTTATCAAAAAAGCCAATGATTCTTCCTATATAATTCATTTCAAAAATTACTGGAAGTGGGTTTAGCCTGGGATTAGGATACCCATGTCCCACATCAGAATGTTGGATTCAGTCCCTGGCTCCTGACTCCATTTTCATGCTACTTCAGACCTTGGGAAGCAGCAGTGATGGCTCAAGTAGCGGGGCCCCTGCCACTCACGTGGGAGACCTGGACTGAGGTCCCAGCTCCTAATTTCAGCTCCCAGCTGTCACAGGTATTAGTTGAGGGAACTAGCAGATGGAAGATCTTTCTCTCTACCCCTCTATTTCTGTTTGCCTTTCTTATAAATAAATAGAAACTCGCATTGTGGCACAGCAGGTTGAGCTGTGCCTACACTGCTAGTCTCCCATGAGGGCACCTGTTTGGGTCCATGCTGCTCTGCTTTCAATACAGCTCCCTGTTGGTGTGCCTGAGAAGGAAGCAGAGGATGGTCCAGGTGCTTGAGCCCAATAGCCATGTAGGAAAACCAGATGCATTTGCAGGCTCCTTGCTTTAGCCTGTGGCCATTTGGGGAGCAAACCAGCAAAAGAGCAGAAGAAAGTTTTAACACTACCTTTTAAATAAACAAATAACTCTTAAAAGCAAAACAGATAAATAAAAATTTAAAATAGTGACAGTGAAATAAGAGTGAGGGATTGCGAACTAGATGGCCTGGGCTTGAATTCTAGCATCACTACTTCCTGGAAGGTGACCTTGGATACATAACTGAGCTGTGTCTATTTAGCATATTTCTTTGTTAAATAAAGTGACAGTACTGTTTACAAGAAAGGTTGTTGTGAGTTTTGAATAATTTATAGTTCAGGCTCTTTACATGCTTAGAGGAATGACCAGTATAAAGACCTCGTTCACTGGAGCTGTTATTATTACCAGTTTTATCTTTTTTCCTACTTACCATAGATTTGAGACAACAATTGACAGCAAGGATTGTGGATTTCACTGGAAAATCTTACAAAATATAAACCTGATGACACTGGCTCAATCTGTCACTTGGAAAATATAATTCTTCGTGTAATTGTTAGCTTTGCATACAACTTTGCACAAAGTCACACCAAGTCTCACGTAATCGAGTACACTTGAAAGGCACATTAATTTAAGGTGGGTGACTAATAACACGATCCCAAATACTCAGGGCTGTGGCAAAGGGGCTCCCGATAGCAGATAGTATTAGTGCACAAGAGTGTTGAGGCAGAGAAGGGGGGGGTGCTGCCCCCAGAGAGGTCCTGAGGAGGCCAGCAGCTGACATACAGAGGCAGGGAAGCCGATAGGGTGCTAAATGTACACAAACAAGAGTTTTCAATCCTGCCTACTCCCTAGCTTATTTCTCCCTCCACCTCTATCAAAGATCTCTCTTTCGAGAGGAAAGCTGAGAAGCATGGTAAGAGAACAAGAATGAGGCTGGTTTCAGTTTTTAAGAGTTTGGTTTAGCAGCAGAAACATGAGATACTGGTGACTTTGGAATGATTTACATCTAAATCTTGGATTGCTGGAATTATATCTGAGTCCCAAATCACTAGTCTAAAACATCTAGACTCCACCTACTTAACTGTCAATCTAAGGAATATGAGAACCACCTCTAAATGCTTGAGTCTTACACAGATTAAAGAGTTTTTTTTTTCCCCAGTAGCAATGAGATCTGTTTTGTTTTTACTCCTACCTTATTAGGAAAGTAGAGAAATAACATCTATCTTTAGATTGTTATGACAAATGAAAAAAATCTATACAAAGCCATTAGCATCACACCTGACACACAAATTGCACATAAAGGAACAGCCTTTCAGCAGGTACAGAGTTCTTCTACTACATGTCCCAGTTTCCTGACCCCAGGGAATTTAACCCGCTATTAAATTCACAACAGACAGTAGAATGCAGATTTCCACAAAAGAAGCCCAAAAGGCTAAAATCATTGAAACCCTAGAGTCCCACCAACTTACCCGTTTTATTTAAGCCTGATGCTTTTCTCTAAGCAGCCCAGATCTCTCTTCCTCCAGGGCAAAGGGTGAGCAGGATTCTCCATCTGCCTTCACTTCAAGAAGATGATCAGAGTATGCAGCGCTTTTTCATGTTTTCTTATGTGAATTTACATTGGATCATGAATTAAGTTTATTTTGAATCCCTGCATTACATGTGCTACAGACCTAAGAAATAGCATGTTCATCCATCTAGGTTTTTAAAGCATGACCTTGTAAGTATATTGGGGCTAAAGGAGGGAAACCTAAAATATACACCGTGTTTATTCTTTCTCACTGTGTGGCTTAGCACCTGAGAACAAACAAGCAGGAGACCAGATCAGCTCCTAGACAGATGAGATGCCCCTTCAGCGTCATAATGAAGAGGTTATAACTCTTCAGTTCCTACTGAGAGAGACATTAAAGGAATCACAAGGGGCTGACTGGTTTTAGGAAAGGAGCCTTAGTGTTGTGAAATCCAGGAAGGGTTCCCAGTGTTTTCCCACTTCACTGATTGTTGTACACCTCTGGGATTTTTATATGAAGGGAAGCTAGGCACATCATCTTTGGATGTCATCCTGAAAATTTAACTTTGAGGAGTGTGAATTACATATCAACTTGCTCTAAAGAATGTGGGAGCAGCATTTGAATTACAAAAGCATGGAAGCAAAGGCAGGTTTTTTTAGTTCTGTTTTGTCCTTTCCCTTTTGTTAAAAGGACAAGGAAAAGTTTATCATTTTAACATTAAACAAAAGGGAGTCACTTAAACCTACACACTTAAAATTAATAAATGTTGAAGATTTTCTTTCCCTCAACTGTAGCACAGGTGGCTGAGCCCCAGTTTTGATGCTAACCGAACTTGGAATTTAGACAACGTGGAAAGATTACCTGTCCCAGAGACTGCCAGTCCAAACCGGCACTGCCGATATAAACGTGCTGTTTGTCCACAATCCAGAAGGAGGACTGCAGCCGGCCCTTGTTGTATGCGGTCATGTTCATGTATGTCACCTCGGCCCCTAGGAGTTCAAGGAGAGCCCGTCAGCCTATGCTTCAAGTTCCTGCACTGACAACCAGTCATCCAGCAGCAGCAAAACTCATTGCTTGTTATCAACCCACAATCAGGACAGCCAAATACTTAATTTAGGTTGATGCAAGGAGTAGCCTCAAGGCACTGATCTGTTCCCCAAAAGAAAAAATACAAAGGAGACAAGAAGAGATTTTCTCTAGTTGTGGAAGGGATTGTGTACACAGTGACAAGACCAGGACTTCTCAAGTCACTCAGATCTACATTACAGCCCTGGCTGTCATTTATCACATAGATGGTGAGGCAGGGGCACCATACTCTTTTTCTTTTGGAATCATCTTAAAATAATTTTGCCATCAATGAAAAGGTCAACTTTGTTTTGCATTTTAACTTTCTGAAAAAATTAGACCCATGCTTTTTCAACTTTTATTAATAAATATAAATTTCCAAAGTACAACTTTCAGATTCTAGTGGCTTTGTTCCCCCATAACCTTCCTCCCACCCCCAACCATCCCATCTCCCACTCCCTCTCCCACCCCATTCTTCATCAAGATTCATTTTTAATTATCTTTATATACAGAAGATGAACTTAGTATATACTAAGTAAAGATTTCAACAGATTGCACCCACACAGGAACACAAAGTATATAGTACTGTCTGAATAGTTTTGCCATTAATTCACATAGTACAACACCTTAAGGACAGAGATCCTACATGTGGAGTAGGTGCACAGTGAATCCCATTGTTGATTTGACAATTGATACTCTTATTTATGGTGTCAGAAATCACACAAGGCTCTTGTCATGAGTTGCCAAGGCTACGGAAGCCTCTTGAGTTCACAAACTCTGATCTTCTTTAGACAAGGCCATAGTAAAAGTGGAAGTTGTCTCCTCCCTTCAGAGAAAGGTACCTCCTTCTTTGATGGCCTGTTCTTTCCACTGGGATCTCACTTGCAGAGATCTTTCATTTAGGTCCTCTTTTTTTTTTGCCAGAGTGTGTTGGTTTTCCATGCCTAAAATATTCTCATGGGCTCTTCAGCCAGATCCAAATGCCTTAAGGCTGATTCTGAGACCAGAGTGCTATTTAGGGCATTTGCCATTCTATGAGTCTGCTGTGTATCCTGCTTCCCATGTCAGATCATTCTCTTCTTTTTAATTCTATCAATTATTATTTGCAGACATTGGACTTATTTATGTAATCACTTTGACACTTAATCCTATCTTTTTGATCAATTATGAACTCAAAACTGATCACTTTAACGAGTAAGATGGCATTGGTACATGTCATCTTGATGGGATTGAATTGGAATTCCCTGGTATGTTTCTAGCTCTACCATTAGGGGTAAGTCCGAGTCAGCATGTGCCGAATTGTACATCTCCTCCCTTTCTTATTCCCACTCTTATATTTAACAGGGATCACTGTTCAGTTAATTTTAAATGCCTAAGAATAAATGTGTACTAATTAAAGAGTTCTATCAGTGGTATTAAGTAGAACAAAAAAATACTAAAAGGAATAAAATAGTAAGTTGTTCCTCAACAGTCAGGACAAGGGCTGATCAAGTCATTGTTTCTCATATTGTCCATTTCACTTCAACCAATATCCTTTTAGGTGCTCAGTTAGTTGGCACTGATCAGGGAGAACATGTGATATTTGCCCCTGTGGGACTGGCTTAATTCACTCAGTATGATGTTTTCCAGATTCCTCCATTGTGTTGCAAATGACCAGATTTCATTTTTTACTGCTGTATAGTATTCTATAGAGTACATATCCTATAATTTCTTTATCCAGTCTACTGTTGAAGGGCATTTGCGTTGGTTCTAGGTCTTAGCTATTGTGAATTGAGCTGCAATAAATATTGAGGTGCAGACAGCTCTTTTATTTCCCACTTTATTTTCCTTTGGGTAAATTCCAAGGAGTGGGATGTCTGGGTCATGTGGTAGGGCTATATTCAGGTTTCTGAGCAACCTCCATCTGTCTTCCATAGTGGCTTTACCAGTTTGCATTCCCACCAACAGTGGATCAGTGTCACATTTTCCCCACATCCTCACCAGCATCTGTTGTTAGTTGATTTTTGTATGTAAGCCATTCTAACCAGGGTGAGCTGAAACCTCATTGTGGTTTTGACTTGCATTTCCCTGATGGCTAGTAATTCTGAACATTTTTTCATATATCTGTTGGCCATTTGGATTTCCTCTTTTGAAAAATGTCTATTTAGGGCTGGCGCCACGGCTCACTAGGTTAATCTTCCACCTGCAGCGCCAGCACCCCAGGTTCTAGTCCCAGCTGGGGCACTGGATTCTGTCCCGGTTGCTCCTCTTCCAGTCCAGCTCTCTGCTGCGACCTGGGAGTGCAGTGGAGGATAGCCCAGGTCCTTGGGCCCTACACCCGCATGGGCGACCAGGAGGAAGCAACTGGCTCCTGGCTTCGGATCGCCACAGCACACCGGCTATAGCGGCCACTTGGGGGGTGAACCAACGGAAAAAGGAAGACCTTTCTCTCTGTCTCTAATTCTGCCTGTCAAAAAAAGAAAAAAAAATAAAAAGAAAAAATGTCTATTTAGGTCCTTGGCCCATCTCTTAAGTGGGTTATTTGTATTGTTGTTGTGGAGTTTCTTGAGCTCTTTGTAGATTCTGGTTATCAAACCTTTATCGGTTGCATAATTTGCAAATATTTTTTTCCCATTCTGTCGGTTGCCTCTTTACTTTCCTATTTCTTTTGTAGCATAGAAACTTCTCAATTTGATGTAATCCCAATTGTTAATTCTGGCTTTGATTGCTTGTGCCTTTGGTGACCCATGCTTTCTATTCATTCCTTCCCCCCTTTACAGGCCTTTACTTCTTCAATCCCTCCTTCATTACTTAATAAGGATTTAATATTTTCTTGGCTTTGCAAAATCAGATAGTTCTTTATTCAAGAAATGATTATTCTGGCTTTACTGAAATGCAACCTTGAGTGGTTAACTGTGTCCCTCAGACCAATGCTAACTCTAAAAACACATTTGAAGAGCTGAATTTGACCAATTGTTTTCAGCATAATGTAGCAGAATCCTCTGTGAAGCCTTCATTATTGCTGCCTCAAATGCATTTACAAACCATCAAAAGCAGCATATAGTCCATTCACTGCAAGGTTATTTGAATAAATTTCTGTCCAAAGTCCATTCTCTTTAAAATGACAGACTTATATGCACATATTTAATGAACTAAACTGTTCTGTCTTCAGATATTTAATGTTAATGATGAGACTATATTCCAGTGGCACACTTCCTTCTCAGAACCTATATTCCCAGAGGAACATATAACACTGTATGCATAAGCATTCCCTTCAGGATATTAGGAAAGAGGGGAAGTGATTTATACCACGGACTTAACCTCTAAGTCTTATGACAATGAAGCTATGCATCCGGGCTCCTTGCGGCTATGGATGGGGGAAGATCCGAGGGGACAGGAGATTCAGGCAGATTTTCTGAGAGTAGAGCAGTTTCTTTCTCCTAGAAGTGACACATATAAGTTCCTCAGCCTCCAGCCTTTCCAGCAAAGTCACATCCAGGGAAGAGTTACAGATCCCAGAAGAGGAATTCTTAGCTATAGCAGAATCTGAATGCCTTAAGTGGCTGCTTACCATGGCCAATACGGAGACTGCAATCTGCATGGAAGCTGCAGTAGGTCCAAGGGACACAGCCAGATCTCCCACATGCAGGAGCAGAGCCCTTCTCTTTAACACACCAAAGTCACTTTCTAGGGTTTCCACAACAAAGCATCAATAACTGGTGTTTGAATGCAACAGAAACTCATTCTCTCCCAGTTCTGGAGATCTGAAGTCCAACTCAGGGTCTGGCAGGACCATACTTGCTCTGAAAGCTTATAGCAGACGCTCTCCCCCGCCCCCTCTGATGGTGGTCATCAACCTTTGGCATTCCTTGGCTTATGTAGCAACACTCCAAGATCTGCCTTTCTTGTCACTTGGGATCTTCTTCCTATGTCTCTGTTTTCTCTTAGGAAGATACTAATCCTGTTGGGTGGTGTCTACCTCACTGCAGTATGGCCACATCTTAACTACATCTGCATCAACTCTATTTTCAGGGAAGATCACACTCTGTGGTCCTAGGGGTCAGGTCTCACATGTCTTTCTGGGGAACACAATTCAACTGATACTGAGACTCAGGTCACATAACTAACTGGCCATGATTTCTACAGCAGGAAGCATGTTCTCTTCTTCTCTTCAAGGAAGAGAAGGAAGGTGATCTTGGTGTTTGCCTCAGGAACCACATTAAGCATGCACCTCCAGCCAAGCCTTCTTTTGCTTTACTTTTCTGCCTAGAAATAAAGTGAACCCTACGTGAAGCCACCAGACCCTCATCTTCTGGCCTGGGACACTGCTGAGACTTGGCTCCCTGACTGGTTGCTGCATTGCAAGAGATGGCTTATTAGTTCTGAGAGTGCCCATCTATTCTCATTCATGTCACTTGCAGTCCCAACCCTCTGCCCCCCTGAAGCACAGCTGAGACTATCTGAAGGACCCACTGTGGACCCTTATGGGACCCCTCTATCACACAATGCATATACATCACTCCAAAAGTACCAAGTTATTTCACTGCAATTTAGCCTACAGAGTTTTATTTCACAGGCCAAAGGTTTCATGTTGAGCTCCACTCAAATTCTGCAGCTATGTACTGAGGCCTGCTTAACAAAGGAAATGATTTGCCTTTGGCAAACCTTTACTTAGTCTCTAATATATACCAAAATGCCATGCTATGTGAAATCAGGGATAAGAGGCCTAACATGCTTGATTACAATTTAGGCACACTGAAGTGTTGTTTTAACCCATTCAGGCTGCTGTACCAGCATACCACAAACTGAGTAGCTCATCAACAATGTGTATTTATTTCTCACAGTTCCAAAGCTTGAGAAGTCTAAGATCAAGGCACTGGCAGAATCAGTGCCTGCTAAGTGACTACTTTCTGTTTCATAGATGGTAACTTCTTGTTGCATCATC